TGCGTGTAAGCTCTAATTTAACCTGTTCGTTTTTTATTCAAATGCAAATATGAATAAAAATATCTTATTAGAGGTATATGTTATGATACTTATATTCTTACTTGCTATGTATTGTATACTCAGACTCGTAACTGGCACTGTGTTGTCGGTCGACAGCGTAGTGCTGTGAATGTTTACTTCTGACTGAAAGGCCCGGATATTGCGCTATTTCTATCGTAGCTATTTTTATCACAGGCTTTCCCAAAAGATGAAAGAGACTACATTGGACGTTGGCGTCAGGTCAGGTCATTATCCACAACGAAAAATTTCGTTAGCAGATATTTTCAGTATCGACTCGATTTTCAGGTTGTCACTTGACTAAATGACCCATTTAAAACAGGTATTGAGCATATGAAAAGTTTGTTGACGCTAAGATAAGTTTTCATCAAGGAGGTCTCATTTGCTATCAAAAGAATTCTCTATTCAATTCAGTTCATTTCACTACCGGATACACTTTACATATTGATTCATATCCCTTGCATACTTACTTGACTTTCACTAATGGCTGAAAAATGGAGGAAAACATTTATAATTAATTCAACTCCATAATACATGGACATTTTTAGAGTGTTCCTTAATATATAGCGTCAAGAAAGTGAATCTCGTTCCGTCTAAAAATATCCATTTATGCCGCCTTCAGGTGAAAGTATTTCCTAAATTAATAAAAAACGGAAATAATAAATCGAAGTAATTAACATGTTCATAAAAAACACTATACATACTTGTAACGAACTCTGGTGGTCATCCTGAGAGTTTATTGTATCGAGTACTGATATCTACTTAAATTTCTGATGGATTTAACTGAAAATGGGAAAATAATCTTTTAACTCTCGGGGGGGTNGAGTGAGTCAACAAAATCACAGCAGCCGTAAACACACGTAACAGTTGACAATAGTAATGTTTTTTCATAGGCGTTCATCAACAATCTCATTACAGGTACATGTACAGGTAGTTACAACATCTCATCTACGTATGGTAATACTTCACGTTGTGTCTCTGACTTCGAGCTAAGTAACCAGGCCTGTGTTCAAACCATGGTCACACTCCCCATGCACTGTCTCTCTGAACCTGGGTCCAAATTGACCTGTCCATACTCATGGCCAATTCCCGACTCCCTGAATATGGGGATGCACCCCGTTAAATACGTTTTCCAGTAAATATGTTACATCATTGCCTACAGCCATCATCTGGAAACCTGTAATCATAAATTCTTGGTACATGTACATACCTATGTGACTATAATTACTCTAAGTATTACATGTACCCTTTAGGCTACTGTTACCTGACACATTACTGACCCGACTAGCACACGACTTACAATCCAAAGATATGATGAATCTAACATAAATTAATCACATGAATTAATTAAATTAACTATTGGGTAAACCCATTTTGTCACAGCTTGGACTAGAAAGATATTCATTAGGAGTGATGTTGTTCGACCAAGCGAGCTGCAAACTCTCCCTACCAATGGGATTAGGGTGTTTCTGGGTCTGCCTCCGAAAAATGAATTAATAAAGCACTTTATGCTGTATGGTGCAGTAGGAGGTTCTAAATATAAGCGAAATGTTCTTTTTTCTCTATATATAATGCCCCTTTTCCTATTTGTGTATGGTCCAGTAATATCAATGTTTATCTTTGTAATACATTTTTAAGTCTTTGGTTGGTTTTGGTTATAGTGTAAAGCGTCCTTTGTGTATTTGCTTCCTTGCAGCGCGAAACTGTATGTACTATGCCCAGGGTACCTAGGGCACATACGTACATCGGGTAAACCTGTAAAAGGCTTCACCTCAAACTCTTAGCAGGGAATAACAACTACTACATGAAAAGTCTTTTGTCCTGGCTAAGGCCAGAACCATTACCTTTCTCGCACAGGCGAATAGTTCTGCCATTTAGCCAAAGTGATGTGGTGCAGTGATTTCCTGTCCAGTTGGTACAAGGACGTGAGCTTGCCGAGTACACCGATGGGTGATAGCGACAGAGCTGTCCATGTGATAAAGCAGGTGCGTGCACACACGCACATATTGGGGAGCTCAAACCAACATTGTCCAGCATTGATCTGAGTGAAGGGATGCTCTGTATGGTGACGATGGGACAGAACCTGTCGTTTCAAGTGTGACGGTTCTGGTTCTGGTTCTTGTCAGTAAACATCAACGTCATTAAGGTTCATGGACTTATGAGAAAGGTACTTAATCTGTTGCGTAGTATGGACGCCCGTCTGTCGGTGATTGAAACAACGCCAAGTCAACTGATGGTTAAAGTTCGAAATATAAGATTTTGGATTAAAAAATTGTGATCTCGATCGCGAGGATGAAACTATAAAATTGCGGATCACTGAATACGAGTCGCCTCTATTGGTGGTTGTGTTCATTGGTCGGTTTTAACGACATAACACAATCAGGTGATGATTTTACATTGATAAACAGAGATAAGGTATTCCAGGAAATAGCTGAAACAATTTTTGTATAAAGTATTCTGATGGCGTAAGCATTCCAAAAGTACCGGGTACTAAATATTCTAATTAGAACAACTTTGGTAAGCAGCTGGTAAAGGTTGCACACACCTCGGCCTCTTTGTTTGTAACGGAAGACTGGTGACAAAAATATTTGGGTTGTCTTGCCTGTAGGAATGCGAGTGTTGGCGCTTATGTAATCTTTACATCCAGTGGTTTAAACAGTTTTAACCAGCTTCTTGGTGTTAAAGTTTAGTCATTTGTAGTCCGAACTGTACATAGTCATTGATACCTTACTGTAAAACAGACTTATATGATAGTATTCCAGAAAGACATATAAATATATATAATATCTGATGCCAGGTTAAAATGTTAAAACGTAGGATAGCGTAATGTTGAATTCATTTGAAAATACATGTACTATTGATTCTGAAGGGTCATACAAACGGTTCTGACAGAAACACCTTAACTTGCCCAACGGTTCGCGTAAATATATCGATATCGTGTTGATATGTTTAAAGAACGTTTTAAACCCCGATTTGATGCGGTTTGATAATGCTGAGTGTAAGTTAGCTCGACAGGAATATGGACACGCAAAGGACAGATACAGAAGTTAACAATTAGTGGAGTCCCTAAGGGAATCCCGTGGGATTTTTTGAAGGAAGCTAGAGGTGGTGATTTTCTGAAAAGTTTAGGTGTCCTAAATCAAAAAAAGTTTGTTGTCATTCTGACAACCGCGTCTGGGTCAATTTGATGACGTCATCAAAATGGCGGCCATAGCAACAAGATTTTGCCATAAAATTCTGGCATAACAAATACATTGATGTAGATATTTCACAAAATTTGGTTTTATTAAGAGTTCAAATTGTAGTTTCCTGATACAATATAATTGATTATAGCGTTTTTCTTCACCGGAAGTGGTAAAATTAAGAAATAGGCAAAATGGCGGCCATAGCAACCAATTTTAAACGCTAACAAAATTGCATAATTAATACATTTATAGGTTTTGTCGCAAAAAATGGTTCATAAAGGGTGAAAGGTTGTTGTCCAATGATGTTACATGAAAATCCTGCACTTTTATCAATTTTTCGCTCCAGCGGAAGTGGTCAAATTTAGGAAATAATCAAAATGGCGAATGAAGATTTTTGAATCATTGCCTAAACATCGTTTACATTCAACGCTTACGTTAAGTTTTTGAATAAGTCATATAAAACATTCATAGGTACATCAATAATGTTAGTATAATTTCCTTTGTTAGATGAATTTATAGGAGTCCAGTGGGTTTTTACGCATTCGAAGATCTAAAATTATTGAGCTTCATCCCCAACTTACTTCAATGTTTTAATACCAACATCGATAGTCTCTATAAGATAAGCAATATATTTAAGTATATGTTCTTATATATGTTTTACTTTCGAAGTGTTGTGAACATTAGATATATCATGTTGATATATTGTGTTGTTGTAATATAGCATTAATTGAAATGCCAAAGTCTAATAGCATTTAGAAAAATACCAAAAAAAAGATTTTTAGATTGGAATTAAAATATAATGTTATAGGCAAAATAGGTGGGACTAGATATAAGATAATTGGCCATGCCAAAGTCTAAAAGCATTTAGCAAAAGGGGTTTTATTTAAAAGGGAGGAAGTCATTTGTGGAGGTGGGCATATAAAATCATGCAAATTCAGAAGATGACGATTGACGTCACGTGACTTCGTATTCCAACTTATTCACGTGACACACTGCTGAAAGTCACAAGGGAGATAACCCAATTATTATTAGATTACATATCCGCCTCATAAGTAAAAATGTTTAAATATGAAAACAGAAGTTATAAATTACTTAATGCGAACATAAAGACAATTACATCATCGTTTTTATGTGAACTACTTTAAAATTAAAGCACACCGGAAAACTATGTTATTTTTTTTGCTAAAAATGACACTAAGAAATTTATTGTGTAATAGAGCATTTATTCAAATGCCAAAGTATAATAGCATTTAGTAAAATGCCAAAAACTGGTTTTTTGATTGGAATTGAAATATAATGTTTTATAACAACTTGATGGAGGTTATAAACTCTATCAAGTTGGCACACCAAGAGATATTTCTTAATAGCATTGAGTTGGTTTTGTGATAACAACATGAATCTAAATATCCTTGATCTTCCTAACACGGCCGTTGGAATGGGCCTGGCTATACTGAAGATTGTCGTTAAAATGGTCCTGAACGGAATCGATCTCGCTATATGCTAGTGCATCATGTACATATTTAAATCGTACTCTAGTAGATTTACTCATATCTAATATACAGTGTATTTATTTATATTTGCAACAGGTGAGTTACGCATGAGCTAACCGTAAGTGTTAAATCTAGCGAGCGCACCTGTACCTGTTGCAGATGATCATGACGTATGAAAGTAAGTGTCCAACCACATGCATGCAATGCAATTACTTCCCTTTACGGAGAAGATCCGCTCGCGTGTGTAGAACGCCGGTACAGGTATGTTTCTCCAGTTTACCTGTGTGACTGACGGGCTTGGGTGGCTCTTTACACCGACCTTGAAACCGTTAGGACTACTGCTACAATCAAACTCCTGTGGATAAGGAAACTCGTGTTATACGCAGACTATCATTACAAACCATTACAGATGGCGAACAATTCCTCGGATATGGACACTTTAGCGCCTCTACAGACACAAATAGAACAATTTAAAGCCAACGTTGATATCTTTTTTCTCTGTATTATGGGGATGTGCGTTTTATGTAAGTAAATATATTTTTGAAGTTTTAAAATTAATTTTTACAATAGAGAAAAATATTGATATTATTATTAATTGATACTGAGACTGCAAAATTATGTAATAAATTAGTCTTTGATTGGTATAATGTTTTTGGATACATGTGGACTATTGTTATCGTAAGGTTTTTATTCTGGTGATTTGGCAGTATCACTGACGAGTCTTACATTAATGTTTACGTGATTGGCTTTCTGCATTGTCAGACTAATATTCAAACAAATGATTCCTTTTTTTTTGTATTTCTAGAATCGCTTTCTTATTTACGCTTTCTCCGCTACTGTGATTTGTTATTGACAGATTTAATTATCTATGATATATATAATGATTTATGATATGTTATAAATAATACAATAACATCATACAATAGTAACTGCTTGAGTGTGTTTTGACGAAACACTTCGGGATGTCCGTTTGTACGTGATATGTTAATTAGCTATCTAATATATTACATTCGTATGTCTTTTCCGGCCAAGCAATATTACAACCAAACTCGGCCTATATTGATGAAATTACCACAACTCGGCCAATATGATATTGGCCGACTTTTTCCCGATATTGGCAGACTCTCAACTCAGCCAATATGAAAAATGCGCCAAATCGAGCGTGCTATTCATTCGGACTTTCTTGTGGTTATTGATTCTTTTTGACGTACCGTCCCGCGTCAACACAAACAACAACAATGGACGTGAGGGATGAGTCGCTGATCAAGAGGGCAGGTGATAAACATATAAAACTGGGGAGGATATGTTAAGGGTATTAATTGAAGGCATAAACAGGTATGATTTTCCATCCGACATTGTTTCTACGGGTAAAGAACTGATTCGGAGAATGCCGACAAGTATGAAATAAAATTGTTTTACTTTTTTTAATTCTTGAACTATCATTTAAATTCAAGTATTCAAAGTATTCACTGTTAATTAATTAAAGTGTCATGAATCAGCTGATATCATATTGGCCCAGTTATTAAGCCTTGGTCTGTGATATTGGCTCGAGGCCGAACACAGACTTCGGCCTAATAACTGGGCCAATATAATATCAGCTGATTAATAACTTTGCTTGTAGAGGATGTAGCTTCGGCTAGGGGAAACATTTTCACCGTCGGACTTGAAACTCTGAGACCTCTAGGAGGCCAGTTATAATACTAAAATCATTGTCATAATATTACTAACTGCCGTAACATCACACGCTGCCGTAATTAACATTCCCTGCTGTGATGACACTAATTACTGTTTTATCACTAGTTACCGTAATAACTCTAGATACCATAATAGAAGTAGTTACCGTAATATCTCTAGATGCTAAAATAACAGTAGTTACCGTAATATATCTAGATACCATAATAGCAGTGTTTACCGTCATATCTCTAGAAACCTGGGATATGGATACTTTCTATTTATGTGATGATTATTACTGCTTTTTATTGATACATGCATATGTGATTATATCTCCCTTTTACTTGTAATATAATATGTTATTGTTATTTTACATGTTTGTCGCAATAATAGCGACGTTAGATAAAGTTTCTTATATCTTCTATTTTGTATAACACTAGTTACCGTAATATCTCTAGATACTATAATAATAGTAGTTACCGTCATATCTCTAGATGCAATAATACATGTAACACTAGTTACCGTAATATCTCTAGATAAAAAAATAACACTATTTACCGTAATATCTCCGTCCTCGATATCCAGGGATTGCGCTCGCTTTCGCTCTCTGCACAGATCGTTAATGAGCGTAATACTGGATATCGAGGATGTAATATCTCTAGATAGTAACATAACAGTAGTTACCGTAATATCTCTAATTACTGAAATAACTTTAGTTGCCGTAATATCCGTAGATACCATAATAACAGAAGTTACTGTATATCACTAATTACGATATTATCTCTAGATACCATGATAACACAAGAAACTTTATGTCACTAGTTATCGTAATATCTCTGAGATATTGCAATCACGCTAGCTACAGTAATAAACTATATACAGTACTATCTCTAGCTACATGTACCGTAATGTATCTAGATACTATAACATTAGAGACCTTTGTACTAAGTTTCCGTAAAAAACATTAGCTTCTGTAATATTTCTAGATATTGTAATAACTCAAGTCACTGTGATATCTCTAGTTACTGTATTATAATATTTACCGTGCTAGCTACAGTGTACCGTTATAATCACATCTTCTGTGATTGTATGATAAAAGTAGGGAAAACTCTCGTAGTCTGTTTTTCGGCCACCAAAAGGTTTACGGTTAGACGGCCGAACGTGTAAAGAGGGCTACATGAAGTTTAGTGAACAGAAACATATTTTGACAGCTGCGCAAAGGTAGGGTCAACACCTATGGAGATTAAACATTAGCGTCGGGCCCCACTTGGAATTTCAAAACAAGATAAATCCATAAAGGTATGGGTATAGGAAGCTTAAATCAGGAACAGTTAGTTTCAGAATTCATTTGATGATAAATGGGACCTCATTGACTTACACTTGTGTGGGTGTTAAAGGTGCAGTAATACAATTCCTCCTAGAGCATTTAAATGGCACAATTACTATAAAAATATATCATCATCGAGTGCAACGTAATTCAACTGTTATTTTGATACCGAATATTACACTATTTCAATAAAGAATTGTTCTTTTTATTTAAGAATTAAGCAGAAACATATGTGAAATTTCATTTCTTATGATAAATTTGCCATTTTTGACACGTTAATTCATAAAGTTCTAAAACTAGTCTTTTTTTCTTACTTTTTAAAAAGTTGGCTGCCAATAATATCTTTCAACATCAGGAATTTCAAAAAAAAATGAAAACCGGTAAATTTGTCGTATACTACTTTTGGTTCAAAAAAAGAAAAACAGCTTTCTTTCCACATTTCCTTTAACCTGTGTTTCTTCATGACTAAAGGTCATTGGGTGTTGATATTTGTTGAGAAGGTTGTTCATGTAAATGAATTTAAGTTTTGTTAATTTTGATGACCTTGACCTTTGTTCAAGGTCACAAAAACCAAATGTGCCGAAATGTTTTTTTTTGTATGGGGAGTCAGACAAGGGTATCTTTCCTTGCTTTATTTATTTAGAGTTAACGATATAAAATAGTGTAGTATCCCTTCATATTTTGTTTTATGAATAGTCAAAAGGCTACAAAAATAATAACTAGAACTGTATGCCAAAGATTAACTAAAACCTCCGCTCCTATATAAACCAGAACTGTAATCTAAAGGCTAACTAAGGCAAAACATTGCAAATTAATCCATAGTCTCCCACCAGTAATTATGTATGCATTTATGTCACTGACATACTTCTTGTACTCCCTCCCTATGCCAAAACATACTTTCATACCACATCTTGTTAGCCTAGATGACCTACTTTTGCTGAAATCGTTCTAGTAGTTAAGGAAGAGTTATCAAGACAAAGATTTTTAACAAAGGGCCATAACTCCTTAAAAGGGTCGAAATGAACAAATACTATCCTCATGCAAAACATTAGGGGGTAATTACCATATCTGTAAACTTTCATGAAATTGGCCCAGAAGTTTAAGAGGCAGACAAAGTTTTTTTTCAAGAAAAGGCCATAACTCCTTTTTAAAGGGTCGGAATGAAAACATACTTCTTCGATGCACAATGTCAGGGGGCAGTTACCATATCTGTAAACTTCCGTTGAAATTGGCCCAAAAGGTTTTGAGGAGTTGTCTGGACAAGTTTTTTTTAACAAAGGGCCATTACTCCGTAAAAAGAATTCCTGGATGCACACCATCAGATGGTTGTTACCATATCTGGAAACATTCGTTGAAATTGACACCTTAGTTTTGGAGGACATAGCCAGACAGACTTTTCAACACAAGGCAATAACTTGGAGGGAAAAAATATCAGAGTGAAAATATACTACCTGGATGCACAACTTCAAGTGTCAGTTATCATATCTGGAAACTTTCGTTGAAATTTGTCCACTACTTTAGAATGAGTTGACAGATAGACGGATATACAAGCTGATTCCAGTATACTCCCACCCCCTCCACCCCAACCCCCACCCCTAACTTCGTTGCGGGGGTATAATAAAGTGTATACTAGTTTTGTTATTAAGATTTTTTTTTATATTTTTTCTTTTTAGATAATTGCATAGCTTTGTCTGTAACATAATCTCAAACCTAAAGTAGTTCTCAAGAGGAAAGATTACTATGACAGAATACATACTCAAGAGGTATTACTGCTGCACATAACTTGAAAACATGCCTAACATAATAAAGTGTTTTAGTATGATACAAAAACAGAAAATGTATCGGTATTTATCGTAATAAACATTGATAGTCAAATCGTCAAGGTTATGTGAAATTGGGCATTGATCATGTTTGGCATGCTAAAAAAGTACATTACCGGTTTTGATATTACATAAAAATGATTCAGTAGACATAATACATATATAGGAAGTTTTTAAAGAAGTTTAAAATATAGATTACCATTGTGACTATATAAAGACAAGTTGACAATGTTAGTTTTATTTTAAATTTTGTGAAAAATGTTTTTCCAATTAAAAGTATCACTACGCTTACTTCATGTCTACCAATATGACATATTTAGTATCAAAATAACAGTGATTTTATTCACTATATACTATCATAATTCATTTCCAAATTAACGTTTGCCTGTGATATTTATTGGTCATTTTGTTAGGATATCCCCGTCACCCAACCTGGTGTTATGCAAGGAGGTCCACTACGGTTACATATGTATCAGTAACAATTATGAATAATCATTTATGCAGTTATTGATCATTTTTATGTATCAACATATGGCAAAAGAATAAAGGAAATCAAAGTGGGGGCCAAATGTTGACCCCACCTTTAGAGGGTTAAGGAACGTTTTCATTTTGAATAATTTGAAAGATCAGCTGCACATGTTTTGATATTGTACATAAAAAAGGCGTCATAATGTCCTGGGGTCCATTTTCAACGTTGAATATGGAA